TATGATTTGTATTTTCACTTATATGTATACCTACTTATACTTATTATTCTATTTTTATTCATGTTTTATTTAATCTGTTTGCTACATTACTTTTGTAAAGAGTTGTATTAATTAATTACTGTCTAATTGTTATTTTGATAAGGCCTTAGGGCTAATCAATAGATTTTGTTTTGATTTGATTTAAACAACTTGCTATTGTGTGGCAATCAGTTTACAGTCAACGTAAAAAGAGTCAGGAGCCTTTGACCTAAGCAACATTTATTTGAGAGTCAGGTAGTACTTAGCATTGTCACTAAAATAAACAATCATGCAAAAAGTTGCCCAGAAAACAGTACAACGGATTTTTCCTTCAGGAAGAAAGAAGAAAGAAGATTACTACTACTACGACTCGTGGGCAACTGCACAGTCCAAACTACAAGTTCCACTACAAAAAAAGTTAAGGAACGGCATTTTTGTGCTAATCCGTAATCTTTAGATCATATAAGGTACAGTAACCCTAAGAAATACCTACTATTTGCTTAATTTAGGCTAATCACCAGGAGGGGGAGGCAATAGTTCATTCCCTTTCCTTTTATATACCTATTCTTTCACCAGTCACTGTCCGTTACACCGACTGCTGACTTCCCCCCTCCCCGCCCTTTCTTCTTCATCTATTGGGACTAGCAATCCACACACACAGACACCCCAACGAAGCTTTAGTATCTCCGTGACGTGCAGAAATCTAATCCGGCCACCTCTTCCTTCTTGCCCATACTTGGAAACTCTGCACCTGTCGGATTTCTGCCTGCAGTAGGTATGAAAAGCAGAAGCCAGTGGGGGTGAAGGTCCCGCTTGCTATTCCTGCACCTCGCGCCCGCCCCTTCTCGCTCCGCGGCTCCCTCGCCATCCCCCCAGCAGAGTTTTCCCTTTCGAGACCGCCTCACCAATCGCTAGTTGAAGGCGCTGGGACGGTCGCAGGAGGACGTGCGCTGGCAGGCCGGGAAACTCATCCTCAGTGGATCCGGAGGGCGCCGGGCCGGGCCAGGAGCGCGGCCGCAGAAGGAGGCAGAGACGGCCCGAGGAGCCGCCACGGCTGCAAACCTCCAGAAGCCACTGAAGGCGGCGAGATAGAGGCGGCGGGGACACGGGAGCAAAGGAGCGCGGGAATGGGGCGCGCCTGAGAATTTCTAGGGCTTATTTGCTGGCGGGGAGGACGCCCCC